TTACATATATCCACTTACTTTGGCTAAAGCAAAAAAAAAGGCAGCAGATCCCTTTGTTTCCCTAATTGAAATGTTTTCTGGTTATGCCCATCTAAAAAGACGAACACCAGAAGGAGGAATCCCAAGGCCGGATTATAAGAGTTTCATACCAGCTTATGATCCAATTAATTGGGAATACCTCTCTAAACGTAGCTGGGGCATTGGAGGTTTTCGAGGAATGCACCAAGAGTCCAAACGAGCGGTTACAACTTCACGCGCTTTCTGGATATTGTAATATTTGTATGTAGCACATACATCAAGCGATCGGTTTTATTTATCACCGCCATACCTACATACATACGGGATTTTATTTAGTCGTGCTGCAACTAAAATGAAAGGACCTTCGTGAATTGCATCGTTCTTTTGGAGGTTGAGAAACGCCCGATTCTGGCTCTGTAGGTGGAAAGAGCTGGGTAGCGAACTTTCGTAATGGTGACGGTATACTAAAATATTTATTTGATATTCCACCGATGGTAGCTAATTTTATGGGATTTATTGGTTTTATTCTAGGTGAACGAATTACATCCTTTTCTAATAGCGTCAATACATATTATGACTGGTAAACGTAATGGTAGTGTGCAACGTAGTACTGTAGCGACCCATCGCTCCGATCCCTGTAGCAGATATGCCTGTGACCGCCAGAAAAGTAGCAGCAACGACGGCAACGACGTAATCGTTTGAGACCATGGTTGATGATCAGCACCAGCAGGTACTGGCGTTTGCAACGTATTGCTATGGGTGAGTGATGAAAGCTCTTTTATTTAAAGCTCCATTTTCATTCAAATTCTGTATTAATGCTGAACTGAAGGTGCGTCATCTACTTAGAGAATATAGAATATAGAAAGCCTATTACGAGCTGACCCGCATCTATCATCTGAAATTTCGGTATATACATACAAAGGGTATCGACGATCGTGTTTAAAGGTGTTATGCTTTCCTTTTATGACCTAATCAATGGAAGAAACGAGCCCGTTGGCAAAAATACGTATGCGACAGTGCCACCCCGATCAGTTCAACGTAGTCTGAACTAGGGATGTTTCGAATATCACATTTTCCACATTCGCGTATGCGAATGCGAATTTTCGGAAGGCGAATGTGTATAATAATATAAATATTTGCAACATCCCTGTTCTGAACATTGGCATACATATGTATGTAATGATTCTTCACTGCTGAACCCGAATGTAAAATATAAGGAAGTAGAAGTGCAAGCGTGTTGTTATTTTACCCATTGCACTGATTCCACAATATTGGAAGTGAGCTTGTGGCTTGTTCAACTGAGTAGTTGAATGAAAAATTAACGATGAGGCGGTATGGAAATATTCGATGCCAATTTCCCCCTCCCCCACAATTCAATCTGATAGGGAATTTACATGAGGCGATTTTACAGGCAACTTTTAGTTGAATGCAGCAGTTGAATGGTGTAAATGGCCTTTCCACTAATCGCTTTCAATGAAGTTGGTCCGCTGCCCACTTGAGTTCAACCTTTGGTTCAACCAATCGCCTGTGAAAGTTGAATCATGTAAATTCGCTATAATCTAGTTTAATCGTAGGCTGATTATGCGTCTTGCATATTCTTTCTTATCTTTTCAAATTATTTGGTCTTGAAAATGTCAAATATTTTAATTTCTTTTTATACAAATTCAAAATTGCTCAAGTATTCATAGCGATAATTCTGTAGCTGGAATATTTGGCATTTTAGATGTGGGATTGCGTAGGGAGTAAGAAGTGGAATAGCTGGGTTTTGTGAAGTGGAATTAATAGTACGGGAGTTTATTCAGATATTGTGCTGTTTTCGTTGCAGGGCGGAAGTAGGACCAATTTTGCAATTGGTCTTGTAATTTCTCCCTTAGCTGTGTCGATGTCGACTACTCTTACTAGGTTGTCGGAACCTGGGTGTAGCTTGACTATTCTGCCCAATCTCCATTCGTTTGGTGGCAGGTTTTCTTCTTTAACGACGACCAGGTCCCCTTGTTTTAAGTTGGTTTGTGGATGTTTCCACTTGATGCGTTTCTGCATCTCGGTGAGGTATTCCAGTTTCCATCTCCTACAAAATGTCTGATGTAGGGCCTTCAGTTTCTGCCATCGATTTACGATCGATTTCGGGTGGGGCAAGAAGATGCCCGCCGACTAGGAAATGACCTGGGGTAAGTGGCTCCAGGTCAGACGGTTCGTTTGAAGAGGGGCTTAGTGGTCGTGAGTTGAGACAAGACTCAATACGGCATAAGAGTGTGCTGAACTCTTCAAAGGTATATTTGTGGTCGGACGCAACCTTTTTAAAGTGGGTTTTGAAACTTTTCACCCCAGCTTCCCACAAACCGCCCATGTGAGGGGCCGCAGCGGGTATGAAATGCCACTCTAAGGTTTGATGGCTGTATTTAGTGAGGGTGCTATTGCGTGCCTCAGCTAAAAATGCTTTAAATTCCGCTCGTAAAGATCGTGAGGCTCCGACAAAGTTAGTACCATTGTCGGAGTAAACATTTTTTGGACATCCTCGTCTAGCAACAAATCTTGCGAAAGCGGCTAGAAAGGACGCGGTGCTAAGGTCGCTGGTAGCTTCAAGGTGAATGGCTTTCGTTGAGAAGCAGACGAAAAGACACACGTAGCCTTTTGACATGCGACATCCTCTGCCCCAGTAGGACTTGATGTCGAACGGGCCGGCGAAATCCACTCCCATGTTTGTGAATGCACGGGAAAAGGTTGTGCGTTCTTTGGGAAGGATTCCCATAAGTTGAGTTTGCGACCGTTTCTTGTGGATCGTGCAGACCTTGCAGTTATGTATGACGGACCGTATCAAGTTTTTCACCCTGGGAATCCAATACAGCGATCGGATGAGTCGCAGCATCAGCTGGTTTTCTCCGTGCACGGAAATTTTATGGATAAACTGGACAAAGAGACGGGACAACCTACAACCATACGGAAGAATGATAGGATGACGTTCATTGTAGGACAGATCGCAAGATGCGCTCAGACGACCACCAGCCCTCAGAATCTCATCTTTGTCGATGAACGGGTTAAGAGGCAGGACTTCACTTTTTCCGTCGATTTTAACCTTATATATTCTTCGCTGTAATATTGTTTTTGACAAATTGTTATTAAGCGTTGGGTCGTTGTTTTAATTTCGTTGGCCGAAATTGAACGAGACTCCGCTTTAAAGGAAGATTTCGCTTTGGGATTGATTAATTGATAGAATCTCATAATATAAGATATAACTCTCAAAGCCCGTGACAAATCAGAAAATCGATCGAGAATGTCGTGAAAGTCGCTTACTTTTGTTGTTGCATGAACATGCACCCTTTTTCCTTCAATGGTTGTGTCATAGTCCGATTCTTGTGCTGGCCATCTCGAATAGGCTTCTTGTAACCAAGAAGGACCCTGCCACCACAAGGAGTTGTTGACTATATCACTCGCCGAGAATCCTCTGCTGGCTAGATCCGCTGGGTTTGAGGACGAATCCACGTGGCGCCAATCTTTGTTTCCTACCTTGTCTACTAGCTTTGTTAACCTGTGGGCAACAAATGTTGACCCCGAACATGGAGGTTTTTGAATCCAAGCTAAAACTACCGTTGAATCCGTCATCAAATTCACCTTCAAATGAGCAAGGCTAAGGTTTTCAACGACAGTTTCAATTGTTTCGGCCAGTAACACTGCACCACACAACTCCAATCGGGGCAAAGATATTGTTTTGACCGGCGGTACCCTTTTTTTTGCCATAAGTAGGTTGACGAAAACTTTATCCTCAGTCTGAACCCTTAGAAAAACTGTCGCAACGTATGCCTTTTCCGAAGCATCGCTAAAGCCATGTATTTCTACATTATCGGTTTGCGTGAAATATACCCATCTTGGTATGCGGATGTTGTTTAATTCCGCGTAATCATGCGTAAATGCTTGCCAACGATCCCAGGTATTTGGAGATACGGTTTCAACCCAACCTGTTCCTTCTAACCAAATATTCTGCATAATGATCTTGGCGACGATTATAACCGGCGCAAGCGATGGCTGAAAGTATTGCCCTCTTTGTAATAATGCTACTATTTTCAATTGGTTTCGCTATAAAGTAGAAGTAATCGGAATGGGCGTTCCATCTGATGCCCAAAGCCTTTACTGCACTGGTATCTTCAAACTCTAAGAAATCTTTACTAAGTAAATGACCTTTTGGTATTCCTTGAAGTATTTTGCTAGAGTTTGAAGTCCATTTTCGTAATGGAAACCCGGCTGAATTTAGCACCTGTGATATCTCTTCTCGAGCTCTTATCGCGGCTTCGACGCTATGTCCCCCGGCGAGTACGTCGTCAACATACATACATTTTCGCAAAATGTCAGATGTGATTGGATGAGAGCTCTCCACATCATCAGCAAGCTGGTGTAATGTCCTTATCGCAAGGTAAGGAGCACAGTTTATGCCAAAAGTCACGGTTTTTAATTCGTACAAACTGATCGGATCTTTTGGGCAATTACGGAAAACTATTCGCTGATATTTTGTTTGATTTTGATTTACCCAAATTTGTCGATACATCTTTTCTATATCGCTGTTGAATACGTATTTGTACAGTCTCCAACGTAGTATAAGAATGGGTAAATCGGCCTGAAGTACTGGGCCTGGAAGAAGGACATCATTCAAACTCATGCCATTAGCGGTTGGGCATGATGCGTTGAGTACAACCCTGACCTTTGTAGTGGTGCTTTCTTCCTTTAAAACGGCGTGGTGAGGTAAAAAATAGCAGTCCGTTGAATCTGGTGAGATGTTTTTATTAATTTTTGACATATGTGCTAGTGACTCGTATTCAGATACAACCCGGTTGTACTCTGTTTGAAGGACAGGTATTTTCGCTAGTCGCGTCTCGTTCCGGTAGAACTGAGAGCATGCACTTTTCAGCGAAGGTCCTAAGCACACATTTTTCGGAAAATCCCGTTTAAAAGGTAGAGACACAATGTATTTTCCATCTGTATTGCGTGTCGTAGTTGCTTTGAAGAGCTCTTCGCAGTATTTATCATCTTCGTTGATGCCTTTTTTCTTTGGGACATCCTCCAGCTCCCAAAATGCAGCTAGCTGCTTGTCCAACGTGACTTCGTTAAAATACGATACGATATTGTTGGTTGGACTGACTGAACCCGCGCGACCAGTCAATATCCAACCGAACACGGTCTCTTGGGCGAGAAGCGTATTTAATACGTTCTTCCTCATTCCGCTTAAAATTATTTGCGGGTAAATATCTCCTCCTAAGACAAGGTCAACTGGCTCATTGACGAAGAATCTTTTGTCCGCCAAGACCAAGTCTGGGAACGATTGCCGCATCATTGCGCTTATCTGACAAGGCGGAAGATCCCCGGTTAATTGTGGTAAAACCAGCACGATTGCTTCTATATTAATTAACGGGTCTGTGGGAGACCGAAGTTGAATAGCAAACGCTTCTTTTACCTGCGCAGATACAGAGTTATTGATGCCCGAAACTTGGGCATGCAAGCGTTTTGATGGCATGCTGATTCTCCGTTTGAGTCTCTCAGTAATGAACGAGCACTCAGAACCAGAATCTATAAGCGCTCTAGCCGAAAAATGTATACCATTATAGTGTATGTTTACGCGTGCTGTTCCTAACAAAACTCCTTTACTTGTATTTGCGTAACAAGAATTTACATTTGTAACCGATTTAATGTCTCCTTTTTCAGACTCGCGTCTTGATTGAGCCTGGTTTGGAGTCGATTCTACGTTACCCGATGGATCAGTTGTTGCTCTTGGCTGAATTGGCATATGGAGCAACTTGTGATGTCTCGAATGACTAGTTCTGCAGTTAAATGAGCTGGTACATCTTGAGACTGTGTGCCCAGCAGATAGACAATTCAAGCAACTGCGAATGCTCTTCACGTAATCTACTCGCTCCGTCGGCTTTAGACGCAAAAATCTGTCGCACTTAGATAGCTTGTGTACATTGCTGTTGCACATTTTACATGTCGCCTTTGCCACACTGGCTTGAAAGGCGCCAAGCTTTTTTGCAGGTGTCTCTGCAGAAGTCCGAGAGCTTGGTGGTTTAGGTTTCGAAGCTATATCTCCCCTGAGACCTGTGACGGTTTCCAGTGTTTGAAACCGATTGGATAGGAATTTATCCATATCTACCCATTTAGAAATCTCAGTTTTATTTTCTATGGTTTGCTCCCATAGTGCCAGTGTCGTTTCTGGCAGTTTTGTCTAACACAAATATGTGAATATTGCATCCCAATTTGAAACATCAATCTGATGACACTGAAGCGACGAGATGCAATTATTAATGTCGCGTTGCAGTTTCTTGATGGAGCTACCGCATTCACTCTCAACTGCGTTTAAATAATACCTTAATAATACCTTTAATTGAGCATTGACCAGGATACGTTTATTTTCGTACCTGTCACATAGATTATTCCAGGCCGCACCAAAGCCATCGTTGGTTAATGGGGATCTCTGCACTATTTCCTTGGCCTCCCCTTGGGTTTTTTGCCGGAGGTGATACACCTTCTCAACTGGGGTAAGGCGCTTATTTAGAATGTATATGGCCGTAAACATATCCCTAAACGATGGCCACGAAAGATAATCTCCTTTAAAAATGTCTGTGTCACAAGGAGGGAGATGAATATTAAGCTCGCGACCTGACTTGTATTCGCTTTCCTTTTCAGTATTTGCGAGTTGCTCTGAAAGATCAGCGATTGCTGCTTGGCACCGCAAAAAACTGAAGTACGTGCTTTTATACTTCTTTTTAACCGATGCCAGGTCTTTGGTTTAGAGCTCTTTTGATGCGCAAAGCTCATCATAAGACCCCTTTACCTTTTCCCACAGAGCCTTTAATTCATCCTTTTGGAAAGTTAAGGAGTGTTTTGTGTGCTCTGATGGCTGCATAGAGTTGTAGTCAGATTCAAATTCTGCTACTGAATCTGCCTGACGAATAAAGGTATCCATTTTTGGCAACCAAAGACCACTCAATTGGACGCAAGAAAAGAAATTTGTCTGTAGTAATAGAAAACGCCGATTTGTAGGAAAATATTGCTACTAACCGCTTAGCCCGAAATAAGCCTAGTTCTTATAAGAACAACAAAAGATAATTTGTATATTTAAGTAATGACTTATTTATTTTCCAGCCAAGTGAAACTGTTGAGTACGTAATTACGTATATATGCGTATATGCAAAAGAAATGTGCAAGTCACTCGCCACCCAACTTATAAAAAATGTGATGTACGTGTGTAACTAATTAGAATCCACAATATGCAATTTATTTAAAATTTCTAATGAAAAAATTTTGTTTGTTCAAGCGCGGCTGTGATTTTGTGCAACAAACAAATAAATGGGGGAAACTACCCAGTGAAGTGATCAGCTATATGTACAAGCGCGCCACTAATAATAGACAAGTGCAATTTGAAAAGAAACCAAAGGAGTTTCGCAAACTATACTTGAAGTTACGCGATTAATAAAATGCAAATAAAAGTGAAAGCCAGTAAAATGAGAAAAAACTAAATTCTGTGCTTTGCAAGAAAATAATAAATTTTATCAATCTTGTGCTTCGGTAAATGCGACTGGTATTTTTACACAAACAACACCATATCAAGAATCAAAATGGACGTTCGCGCAATTCGTTAATGTTAGCCGATACACCAATAAACGTGAAAATGTTATATTTTTTTATTTTCGGAAAAATATTAAGCACTGAGTTTTCTCCCCTTTTTATTTTTACAAAATAATCACGCGCGTTTTTTTTTTTTTTGTTAAGATTCATACACACACAAGTGCAATGAAATTCAACCACGTACCTTAATGTGTTGTTATATGCCGTGTAGTGCGATATGCTGGTTTATTAAAAAAAATGTGTTGCTGACACTAGTGGTGCTGTGATGCAAACGTGATGCTGTGATGCAATACAAAACGTTGATTTGATGAACAGCCGGTTAAGCGATGAACCAAAAAACTCTGCTTGTGTAGTAAGCCGAAGAAAAAACGCTTGATATAGCTCTTGTGGCACGTTGGTTGTGGTGCGAAAAAACTCAGGTTGTCGTAGACGTAGACGAACGTGATGCTGTTGTGACCAATGTGGAAAACTGTGGCGATCGGTTGAGGCAGTTGAAATACTCAGATGTGATGCTATGTGGACTGTATAATTTGGTTACTTTTTAGGCTCGAAGACCAATATTTTCGCAGGTGGCGTCGCACGAAGATGGAGCGCACCAGCGTAAAGTTGATGTAACGAAAAATAAGAATAAATAAAAGACACAGTGGTTTTAGTACAGTGAAATCAAAGGTCGTTTTATTTGTAGGTATCTGTGCGTTTAAATACTTTCATACACAAGAATTGGCTTACCAAACGAGGTGTGACAGCTGCGATATCTCCTTTCAGACGGTCTTCTAACAAGTGAAGAAGTGCTAACAAACGAAAAGGGATGTAGCCCACCGCACAGTAACTTTCGTTAAGTTTCCCCTCCAATAAGTTACCGTACAGTGGGGCTTATTGTTAGCGGCTGGAAAGATAGCCGTAACTTATATATGTGTTTGTGTGCTCTTACATCAAGTGACAAAACGCGGATTAGAGCGGTGCAATATATTTAGGTTGCGGACCTAAACAGGCAGTATATCGTTTCGTCAACAACATTTGTTCCACAACTGTAAACTGGGTGCCAAGACGTGTATGCTCTGACTGTTTGTGTGATGACAGGAGATACTACTTCATTTCGTCCTCGTTCACCACCAGACCCATTCGCTTTGCTTCTCTATCCAATCCCGAGAAGGCAGAACAGACGTAGCCCTTGTTTATATCGATAATATCGATGTCGTCGGCATACGCCAGCGATTATACGCTCTTGTAAAGTATTGTGCTTGAGCGGTTCAGTTCTGCGGCTCTTATTATCTTCTTCAACATCAGTTTAAGAAATCACACGAGAGGGAGTCACCTTGTCTGAAACCTCGTTTGGTATCAAACGGCTCGGACAGGTCCTTCCCTGTTCCGACGGAGCTGGTGGTATTGATCAACGTCATTTTACACAGCCGTATTAGTTTCGCGGGGAAACCAAATTCAGACATCGCGGCATAAAGACAATTTCTCTTCGTGCTGTCGAAAGCGGCTTTGAAATCGACAAATAGATGGTGTGTGTCGATTCTATTCTCGCGGGTCTTTTCCAAGAATTGGCGTATTGTGAATACCTGATCTATGGTGGATTTGCTAGGCCTAAATCCACACTGATAAGGTCCAATCAGTTCGTTGACGGTGGACCCCAGTCTTTCGCACAATACACTTGATCTTTTAACCTATGTATACTTAGAAGGCTGATTCCACGGTAGTTGGCGCGAATGGCGGGATCGCCTTTCTAGTGGATTGGGCAGAGCACACTTACACTGCATTGTAACACATTTACTAAAAACCCCTGGTAACTTCCTGAAAAGAATACGAATGTTTTTGAAACTAATTTACGATAAGAATGTTCAAAGCTCTATTCACCTTGAGCAAAAAATTTCGAAATTGCAGCCCGTAGATTCTCTCAAGGATGTGCCTTTTTGCGAAGGCTGCTCATCAATAGTCTTTGCGAATCGACGTGAGTGCCTTTGTAACATAGCTATGCTACAGGAAATGAAATGTAATCCAAATTGCGGCTGGTATTTTTTTGCTATCACATACTTCCATTTTCACTATTTATCACCACTAAATTGGACTATTTACCACCATTAAAATGCGAGCAAATTTTTACAGCTGCTGTTGTTGTACAGCGCCACTTTCGGACGGGTAAAATACTAAAATTTAGGCTAAGTTTTTTTAGCGAAAGGGAGGGCAGAACCGCAATTTTTGGGGATAGCCAAAAATTCGGATAAAATGTTAAGCTTTCGCATTTTAGCATATTTTAGCGATAGCGAAAGTTAGAATCCGGCTGCTGGTCGACACAGTTGGCTTTGATTTCTAAAACAACTTCATCAGTAAGAAACGGGATAATAATTCCAAATTTTCGTCTTTGTTTGATATATAATTGCAAAAAAAAACGCGGTTTCATGAAACTTTCGCAAATATCAACAACACCAAATTTGTTTTTCAACATGGTTGACAACCGAAGAAGCCTTTCTTTCTTTGAACATCCAATCAGCCAAACTGCAAACATCTCGCCTTTTGTAATAGCATGATAGCCCAGACAAAAACTGTTTTTCTTGAAAACGGCTAAAAACGACGGCTTAAGTAAAACAAGATCAATTCATTACATCCCAGTTTATCAATTTCCATTTCCATTTTATTTACCGCAAGTTAACAAAATTGTAAAAGCTTGCATTAAATCATAAATGGAAATAAATCAGAAAATTTTTGAGGTTATGCAAATAAGTCAGTTTGTTTTGCAAACAATGATAAAAAGTCACTTTTTTAAACTAGAACATAGGTTCTCACTTATATATTTTTTTCCAGTAAAAATTTTCCGTTGATTATTCGGACTTTATAAAAAAATGCACTTTAAACTTAAGAAATAAACCGGTTGCGCAAACAACGTGTCAATAAAGTTTTAAAAGTGTAACTTTGTTTGATTGCTGTCTAACGGTGATTTTTATTTTACAAAGACAAAGTGAAGTTTCTGTTATTTTGGAGTATTCCCTACAGAATGACATCAAAAAATAATGTAAAACTGCATTTACGAAATTGGACTTTCGCACAGCCAAATGAATCATTTGACCTAATGTGCGTTGGATCGAATCCAAGTTGAAGAAATCTGATGGGGAAATGTGGTGATCTCCGAAATAGCAGCTATAACTTCTACCAGAAATGTAAATTGTGTTTTTTTCAATATAAATTTTATTAAAAATTTTTGAATATAGTTACAAAGTCCTTTAAAAACTACAGTCGTCAGAGAGAAAATCTAAAAACGCAGTTTAATTATATTTGGCACATGGTTTCGTGAGTATGTTCATTGCTTCGTGTGTTTTGAAATTCTTTTGTTTTTGTCGCTCGGTGTAATTAGCTGCATATAACTACGCATTTCAACATTTGTACAAAAATTCAAAAAATATTCACCAACATTTCAAACTTTTTACTCAGAATTTTTATACAAATTTTAGGTAGGCAGTTTTATAGCCCATTAAATTATAGTAGGATAAAGTGCAAGTTTGAAGTGGCTTTAAACATCCT